AAACTTACTGTACAAACAGAATAACGTACCTGTTAAAATTGCAATTAAGAATTCCACGGCTGTCAGAAATTTGTTTTCTATAACAAAAACACCCTTGTCCCTTCAGGAACAAGTAGATGTCATGAGGTCATATACCTTGTATCGAGTGTACTTTCAAAGTCTACAAATGCCATATACATTGGGATTTGATATTCGTTGGCTTTTTCACTTATCATAAGCAGATGGTCGCTTGAATTCTTTTCTAAATCCGGCTTGATCTCTTGATTGGTAATTATCTAACTTAGTTGTTAATCTACACCTGTATGCGTACAACTGTAGGATTTTTAAGGACATTCTTTTTAATTTAAGCGTCGTGTTACAACTCTATCTGATATGCCCTTGGTAGATTGTATGTATTTAACTACTTTTTTATTTATTATAAATCCTACTCCATTGTTGGTGTTTTCTTCATTACCTTTATAGTACAGCAAATTTCCTGATTTTAGCTGTATTTTTTGTTCTTCTTTACTTCTTACTTCGGATATGCCGATAACATCCTACTGTATTTTAGCCAGTTCTTCCTCTAGTTCGTGAATTTTAGTGTCTTCGTTCATGGATCTGATGTTTTACGTTCCTACATTTATTTTTGTCGATTATTTGCCTCCCCCAGAATCATTGAGGCAAAGCGGTTTCCCTGTGTGATTCCGAGTTAGTAACTCTACCCACCTGGGGTGCTATTCTGTTTGTTTCATAATTAGACATGTTTCCTGAAGAGGGTTCTTTGGCATTAAAACACCTCGCTTGTCAGACGGGTTGGTGAGTTCTGTATCAGCCGCCCACTCTGGATCAGACGCTACTGTTACAAAACAAATACACTGTCGAATAATTATTAGTAGGAGTATACCTACATCACATAATACGTAGAGAAACTTTATAATTTTTATGAGAAAAATTTACGGGTCCTCTTCAACCATTTACAAAATAGTGCTTGCACATCTTGAATGACTATGTCACTAAACCTCATAAAAAATCATAGGAGTTTAATTAATCCAAAAAGGATTACTTTAAGCTTTATTGTTCAGTAAATATGTAGTTAAAATTTTGTATCAAAACTAATAACTGTATAGATGTTTTTAAAAACAACTTTTTACTAATTGAAGGGCTAAGTGGATGAATGATAATGATGTAACAAAATCAAATTTTGCAGATATAAGCTCTCAAAGTTTTTATATTAGTACTTTCTTTATATACACATATCATGCTTGCTTTCTAGCTAATATTATTACTGTTGCTTTTTTGAGTTTTCTCCTTTAACCATATTGAAATGTGATGGTATTTAATATTTTAAAAAATACTTTTTGTACATACCTCCTCTTTCCACGAATAGTTCTATACATTCTATAAATGATTAAAATGATGTTTGAGGTAATAAAATTGAGACATTCTATTAAACAAGAAATGTATTTAAAAGTGACAAACTTGCTCTACAATAAAATATTATTTAGTGTTTTATTGGTACTCATTTATAATTTGGATATACCACAAACAACAACGTTCGAGGATGAACTGCAGCTGCTAACTCAGATTTTCAAGCGGGTTGAGGCTGTTTATATGCTTTTAGAATGATCTGCAATATGTTGATTCAACCTGCTTATTTAAGGTAGGCCTAATCTTCACATTTCAGTAAAGTCTTCTTCCTCCTCACTTGGCCCCACAAAGTTATCAGTTTCTATGCCTATACTGTTAGCACTTTCAGTTTAATGATGGTTCTTGCCTCCTTCGTCCATGAGAGTATTTTACCATATTTTGATTCAACTTTCATGCAGCAAGTTTACTGGATGAAGGGTTTATGTCAACATACAACGTTACATACCTCCTCAGTTGTAAAATTATTTTGTAACATAAAATGTTAAATACTTCCTTCATCCACTACTACCTGTAGTACTGTAGTAGTGACAGCGTAGTGAACAGTGAACAGTGTAGTAGTGTCTGGGGGCTCGGGAGACTGAGACCTCGGAAGCCCTGAGGAAGGCATCAGAGAGAATGCCGAAAGCTCGGCAAAATGAATATCGACGCGGTTCAACCCGGAAGACTGGTGAGTTTGATATTAATTTTAGTAATAATATTAATCTTAGCTCTAAGTTACATTGTACTAACCGCAGAAATCTTTCCGAACATATATATATATATATATATATATATATATATATATATATATATATAAATTTTTACACATACTCTGCAGTAAAATTCATTGTTTATTTTGTTATTAATATAAAAATACAATACAAGACACTGCAACATAATTCAATATAATAATACAATACAAATTAAAATGCAATATTCATAAGTATTTTAAAATGACAATATACATAACTTACTTACGCATATGTTTAATTTACCATGATAATAATATTAATAAAAAAATAACAATATTAATAAATATTAAATATATTTACAAAAGGAACATTTTTATTCACGAGAGAGAAAATATATCTTCTGTCTCTCTCTTACCTATATCTTACATATGTAATGATTTTGCCGCTTCACTCCCGTACAAATTTCCAACGTCGAATGCGTGTATAGGAATATAACTTCAAAAAATGTTTGTGGAAGATAAAAATAAAAACCAACAACTCGGATTATGTTGTAAATTTTCATTTTATTTTATAAGATTAACGTGGGGTTTTTAAATATTTTAAAAATAAAAAAGGATATTCATATTGGGATTCGAACTCACATATACCAGCGTATGAACAAAACACGTAAAAAGTTTGTGAATTAGACATGACACTAACGTATTTCAAAATTGGCAGTTCTCGGTCATAAAGTGATTTATTGTAATTATTATTTTGAAATACAAAAGCCTAAAATAATTATGAACATTTAATAAATAATACAAAACATCACTTAAATAATAATATTAATATATATTATAATATAATATAATATTAAAAATAAATACAAAAGGAACATTTTTATTCTCGAGAGAGAAAGAGAGAGAAAATATGTCCTATGTCTCCCTCTTACTCATATCTTACATATGTAATGATTTCACCGATTCACTGCCGTGCCCATGCAAATTTCCAACGTCGAACGCGCGTATAGAGGTATAACTTCAAAAACAAAGAAAAAACACTTTGAAAAGATTATCTCTTAAATTTACTGAAAATAATTATACAGTGAACGGCTAAATTATGGAATATTATCATTATTTCGAGAACCGTACAGTTTTGAGGGAAATCCCGAAACATGTCGATTTTTGTTATAAAATAACCATCTTATAACATACATGGAGTAGGGATGTAAACTCATTTAAACTAAATTACAACTAATGATTTGATTAATAATGTACTTTAAAGTAACCAAATTATGCATAATAATTATTTTAAATTAAATGTTCGAAATACCATCCATTTTTTTCTTGATAATATGCGAATCTACAGACACATTCATCAAGTACATTGCGGATGACTTCTAGAGTAATTAGACTCATTTCACGCCTAATTCTATCTTTCAAGTCCTGTAAGTTTTGGGGTCTATTGACATAAACTTTTGATTTTATGTAACCCCACAGAAAAAAGTCTAGAGGTGTTAGATCTGGCGACCTTGCTGGCCACTCTATAAAACCTCGTCTTCCGATCCACCTCCTGGGAGAGCAATAATTTAACAATTGACGTTCTTCACGTGCGTATTGCGAAGGGGCACCATCTTGTTGAAACCAGATATTTTCACTAGGTAAATTTGGATTATTGGCATTTGGATACATGTTAGCAAGGACAGGTATAAGTTGATTTCTCAAAAGAGTTAAATAACGTTCTCCTGTTAGATTTTCTTCAAAGAAAAAAGGGCCAATGATTCTGTCATTAATGATCCCTGCCCATACATTTACTTTCTGAGGATATTGCGTGTGTGACTCAGTCATCCAATGTGGGTTTTCTTGACTCCAATATCTGCAATTTTGACTATTCACAGTACCATGTATAAAAAATGTGGTTTTATCGGAAAAATGGATTTGATTGATGAAATGTGGATTGCAGATACATAAATTCTGCACAATTTCAGAAAATTGAAGTTGGCTATCGGGATCGTTGTCGTTTAATTCCTGATGTAGTTGAATTTTGTAGGGATGGTATTTTTCTTTTTTTTTTAAATACGTAATACCGATCGTTGGGAAACTCCAGCATATTCACCCATTTGTATTGAACTACTGTGAGGATTATCATGTATATTTAATAAAATATCAAGTTTCACATTGTCTTCAATTTTAGGACGCCCAGTGTTTGGAATAAGTTTAATGTGCCCAGTTTCTCCAAATTTTCTGACTATTTTACTTACTGTTGATTGGTTACATACCTTGTTCTGTATTCTTTTTTATATCAGCATCTGCTAAGAATTAATATTTCTATGTGTTGTGTTTCATTTAGGTGAGCCATAATTTAGTATCCAAAAGTAAAAATTACAGTTGACAACTGATGACAATTCACAAAATCAAAACATTTACATCAATAAATAGTACAGTAACTATGCCACTATCACTTCTTTGAATTAACATTTGACAAAAAGTTTCAGTGTTTACAAGATAACTTTTTGTGTCCATTATTATTTTTACTTATTTTTGCTTTTTTACGTATTTACATTAATAATAAGTATATTACTTACATTAAGGTGTGGCATTATACTGATTTCTATTTAAAAAAATTAACAATTATTTAAAAATTAATGTCACTACACCTAAACCAGTGATGTAATCCCTACTCCATGTATGTTATAAGATGGGTAATTTATAATGTATAACAAAAATTGACCTCTTTCGGGATTTCCCTCAAAACTTGACGGTTCTCGAAATAATGATACTATTCCATAATTTAGCCGTTCACTGTATATACTTTACACAGAATCTACAACATATCAAAATTATTGAAAATTCAAGTAATTCAACACTAATTTGCAGGTTAAAGTGATTATACATTGGACATTGCTTATACTTCATAATATAAAAATGTTATTGTTATTCTCACCTGAGTTATCTTGGTCCAGTTCATTCTTTAAGTGAGCAAGATCTATAGATGTGGATAGCTGATTATCTAAATATAATTGGTCATGTTCACCAAACTCTTCCTTAAGTTCAACTTTTACTTCCATATCTAATAAATACAACCAAATTACAATTTAACCTTAATTGTTTAATCTCTTGAATTATTTCTCTTACCCGAATTATGTTCCATAGGTTCATTTTTCAAAACATTAAGTCCTCTTGATCTGGATGGGTTACTGTTACTGTCTATATATATTTGGTTATATTCCACAAACTCTTCCTTAATTTCAGCTTTAAATTCCATAGCTTGAAATCAACAGAATAAAATTATTTATTCCTGTTATGAATTAGGACATCTAGGAACAGCTGAAGAGCCCAACAAGCACTTTATACTTATACCTTATCTAATTCTTTGTTAGTTTGTTGTTATATTATAGCTTGCCCCGATTGCCTTATCTTTGCTGTGTTTTATTATTATTCAATGCAATAGCGATTCAATGCACCAATGCAGTTTAGGACACTCTTCTACATAAAGTCAGATATCACTGCATAAAGTACATACATAACCAAATATCATAGATAAAATTTATAGATTGGTAACAGGGATAGGCAATGTCAAATCACGTTCGGATTTAGGCGCCCATTCGTTTGGTGGCGCTGCTAGTCTCGTTTCTACGCGTAGGGAGTGTGCTGTGGTCAAATCAAAAGTTGAATTTAGACAAATACGGCGCCATATTTTTATTTGTTTTATTTTTTATAATTTATTTTATAGTTTAAATTTTTTTATATAAGTAGTGCAAAAAGGTAAAATTTTAGACGATTTTTTATTATGGAATCGAACACATTACATGGAATAACAATATAGTGACGAAGAACTGAACAAAAAAGATGTATTCCAGATTGCATGGATACTAGCAAAGAATATATAGACGCTTAGTAGAAGAATTTTTCACTTCCCGTTTAGCAAGTTGAGAAAGATTGAACAGAGTTGATCGCACGTTACAAAAAAGAAGGGAGGTGGATCGAGATGGATCGAGGTTTCACTAGGGAGCGGTCATGTCAGCGCTGTTATTGCTTCTAAAATATGAAAGAGTGGGGCAACAAATGCAACTTAGATATTTTTATGAGATGCCGCGTGGTCGTAGAAGAGGATTACATTTTTGCATTTTATAAAAATTTTTAAAGAAAAGAATATATTTTATTATTATTATTATTTATTATTATTTTAACTTTTAATAAATTAATCTTTTTAAAAAAATATGACTCAAATTTTTAATTCAAATATATACAAAAGTATAAATAATATAATTAAAACTCTCTTCTTATAAACTCTAAATAAAATTAATTAAGCGGCAATCACCGGGAGAGAAAGCTCAAAAAATTGTAAGGTGTTTCGATCAAAAAACAATTCCTGATCTTGTAGTACGCTAGAATTGCTTTTAACACATACACCAAAGAATTATTTTTTATATTGTGAAGTATAATTTCGGATTTTTAAATTAAAAAATAAGTAAGTCTCAAATAACTAATCACCAGAGCTCAACAAAGGAAGATAAGAAAAAGGCAAAAATTGCAGCTGGGGCATAGACTATAGCAAATCCTTAAACATCCAAATCAGCAACACCCGACGATAAAATGAGACTTGGGGAGAATAAAATCACCCCCTTGTAATAGAGTTGCTAAGAAATCAAAGTGCTCTAACGAGCAGACTAGGTCATAAAGCACCCTGACAACAGACACCACCCTGATACTCAACTAGATCGGGCTCAAGCAAATTTGATCATTAACAAACTAGAGCAAGCACTTGAGGCTCCTATCTAAGGTCAAAATGAACTCCTGCAGTTCCATAAAACATCGTTTAGCAAAGGGACTCTGTGGGTGAACTGTGTTAACGAGTATACAAAAAAAATGGACGACTGAAGTGGTGAAGACTATTGAGGGCCTGTGGGAGAGAGTAAACTTAAATATAATTGTTTCAATAATATGCCTAAGCGCCCCATGATCCTCACCCGCGACCCCAAGAAAAAACTTGATGAAGGACCCATCTAAAAAGGCAAAATCAAGACCTTAACTCAGAAGACTTGTGATCTCTGTTCCACATACTGAACGACAGTAAAGATAAATGTTATAGAGGGAGGAGTTATGGAGATAGTTCTCAGATCAGCATACCTCCTATATCCTATCTACCTCTTTTTCTTCTTCCAGGCGAATTCATCTGTGAAGTTTTTGGAGCCAACGTTAGTCAGGCATTCTCAATAGGTGTCCAAACCATTTTAAACTTTTTTTTTCTATTCTGTTTCTGTAGCATTCGCATTATTTCTTATAGATTCGTTGGTCTTCCTTCCAGCCTTGATGTTCTAGCACTTTTTCTCAAATAATCCATTTCAACTGCCAACAATCTTCTCTTCAGGTCTGCATTAATTGTCCATACTTCAGAGCCATAACAAAGAACTGATTCAACCATGGTTTGCCCTATTCTTTTTTTGTTCCTTTGGACTTACTCCCTGATTAAGGGTAACATACTGCATCCTTGTCTTAGTCCTTTGGTTACTTTTATTGGCTCTGATAGTTTATTTCCGATTTTTAGGTAAGTAGTGTTATCCCTATATACTTTTGTGATTATTCCTAAAAAGTATGGACTAATGCAGAGTTGTTGTAAAGCTTGCCACAAATTAAGTCTTGGAACTGTATCATACGCTTTTTCTAGATCGATGAAAGCTAGATGTACTTCGGTGCCAATCGTTATTCTTTTTTCTATTAATTGTTGGAGTATAAACTCCAACAATTGGTTGGTTGGATATAAGTTATCAGTGCTAGATCTACCAGGCGTAAATCCACTTTGGTCTTCGCTAATTAGATGTCCTACATCATCTTGTATTTTTCCATTTATTATCTTTCTTTCAAACAATCTACCGAAAGTAGGTAGGATACGTAATCCTCTGTAGCAGTTAGGATCTTTTCGATTACCTGTTTTAAAGATGGACTCTAGGTGAGCGGTTTTCCATTCAGATGCTACTTTAATTTGTTTGCAACATTGCTTCATTAGAAAAGTTATTCGTTCTATTAGAAGTAGACCTCCTGCTTTAAGTAACTCTACAGCTATATTACCAGGTCCTGGAGATCGCCCGTTTTTTATTTTAATTAACGTGGTACGGACCTCGTTATTAATAGTATTAATGTTACTATTTGTTTGTCTCTCCATTCTGTATTCCTGTCCCATATATTCCAATCTGGACTGTTGGAGAAAATTTCAATAGTGATTTTCCCACTGTTCTATAGGAATTAAGTTACTTAAGGAGTTATGAGTGTTTTATTTTAGATTAGTGATAGTTTTCCATGCTTCCGTACTCTGAGAACCACCAATTAAATTTACAAACTTGGACACATTTTTGTTCCCAGAAATTGTATTTTGCTTCTTATCTTCTAGAGATGTTGGCGACCACATTGACCTATCTTATTCTATTCATAGCAGCGCGCAATAGATCAGTTGACGTTAGATCAGTTCATTTCCTAAGATTGGCCAGCCAGGATATACGTCTACGTCCAGGGTCTCTCTTACCCTCAATCTTGCTCTGTAGAATCAACTGTAGAAGTTGGTATTTATTATTACGCATGATGTGGCCGAAGTAAGCCAATTTTCTGTTTTTTTGTGATAATGTCTTTGGCTTTTCTTAGCCTTTGGAGAATAATGTTACTTGTATGGTGTATATATGACACCCTTAATATACGTCGGTAGCACCACATTTCAAATGCCTCCAATCATTTTATGGCATCTTCTCTAAGGTCCAGCTTTCTACTCCAGCTTTCTACTCCAGCTTTCTACTCCAGCTTTCTATTCCAGAGAAGATGACACTAAAAAAGTAACATCTAAGAATTCTTATGCGTATATTAACACTTAAAGATAAGTTGCAGAGAATCTTCCTAAGGCTGTTGAAAGAGCTTCTGGCTTTTTCAATACCAGTTTTTATTTCGTAGCTATAACCCAAGTATCCTTAATATTGCTGCTCAAATTGCATATTTTTTCCACTCTTTCTAACGGTGTATCGTTAATTGTAATTTGGGCGTTTATGCCGGTGTTCTTACTAATGATCACTATTCTTACATGCTTCTACAACGTTATCCATCATCCTGCGCACTGTCTGCCAGAGACACTGTATCGTCTGCATGTCTAATGTTGTTTGTGTTGGCCATTTACAGCAATCCCATCTCCTGATTCGTCTAAGGCCTCTCTAAAGATGTTTTCAGAGTATATGTTAAATAATGCCGGTGACAATATGCAACCCTGTTTAACTCATTTTTCGACTGTGAAGATCTCGGGCAGTTCATTTTCTAATCGTATTGTTGCTTTTTGTTGGATATATAAGTTTGAGATCAGTCTTATATCCTTATCATCGAGTCCTGATGTTTTTAGGATCTCGATTAGTTTCTAATGTGGGATTTTATCAAATGCCTTCTCGAAATCAATGAAACACAGATCGCAATTGACATCCTTGGCTCTCTGTATTAGTATTAGTGTGCCTCTAATAGACTTAAAATTTCACCATGCACCTCACCAGGTCCTGGTGATTTTCCATCTTTAATCCGCTTAATGGCCATAACATCTTCGTTTGTTATTTCTGGGCCATGGGGATTGTTTATTTCAGTCGGACTTCGTGCTGCATCTTCGAATAATTCTTGCATATATTCTTTCCATCTTCGTAATTTATCCTCAATGGTAGTCAACATTTAGCATTCAATGTCTACAACTATTCCTGTTTTGTGTTGTTTTCTGGTATTCTGTACCTCTTTATTTTTGTTTTGTCCATATGGAAATCGTCATGTTTGCGTTGTAGTGTTTCAACATCCATACATTTCTCCGTACTCTTTGATTGCGTATTTCTCCGTTTTTCCTTTGATATGTTACTCTATTGCTAGATGTTTTATTTGTTAGCCATTTCTTATACATTTTGTTTTTTTCTTGTATCGTTTATTTTACGGTTTCTGTCATCTATGGTGGTTCATGGTGTTTTTGTCGTTATTCTCTGTTCCTAATACTTCATAAGCAATTTTTTTTATTATCGTTTTAAGGTTGTTGTATTCTTGTTCTACATCCATATTTCTTTTTATCTCATTTTGTTCTTTTTCTAATCTAGATTGAAAAAGATGAATACTTAATTGGAATAAAAGGTGCAATTAATATCTCTCCGTTTTGTACTGTGTAGTTTTGTTGGACCTACCCTAATGGAATAACAATGTTACGTTTGGAATGTCCTACGATTAATTATCGCAAGAGACTCCTGGTTCGAAAGAATACAAAATTAAATTTCTATTACAAAAATTACTTTCGTATTAAAATACACAAATGTGACTTTAAAAGTTTTATTCAGTTTCCTTCGGTTCGGTGGTATAAATTCGACTAAAAACTAACTCTAAACAAATTGAATATATTCTTATACTATATGAAATTCAATACCCTACATTCTCAGACGAAAGTCATTAAAATTAATTGCTTTCACAAGCCCTTAGCCGGAGAGACGATACGCTGATTACAAAAGGGG